ATTCCGATCCTCCATTCGATGTTGAACATTAAGATAACGTTGATAAGGGGAGTGTTGTCTTCAGGGTGAAGGATTTTGCCCAAAGGCACCAAAGGTATTACGTCTCTTAGTCCTACATCTGTCTCATCTTCTACTACCATGTTGTTAAGAATTACGCATGCTAACATAACTGATTTTAGCTTTTTGGGACTCCAAAAACGAGCAGGCCCAGCTACTATAGCAAACCGTGCTTGAAGGATACCAAAGGTACATTCTATGTCCTTCCTAATTGACTCTTGTTTTTCTGCAAAGTTCTAGTAAAAACATTGGGGAAAAATTGAGAACACAGAATAAAAAGTATGTAAGCAAAGATAAAGGACACACCCTTTTCTTCAAATCCTGAGGGTGCGCTATAGTTTGAACTATAGTAGCGTATTTTGGATAAATACCATCAGCAAGGTAGTATCCTTGATCATACTGGTGTCCATTGATTTCAAACTCGCACTTCGGTGCTTCTCCTCTGCATAGGCGTTCAAACAGAGGAGAGTGATTGAGCACGTTCAGGTCATTGAGCGAACCAGGTAACCCGAAAAAGGCATGCCAGATCCATCGATCTTTGGATGCCACAGCTTCCAAAACTATTGTCGGACCACCTTCTTTGCCTTTGTATTGACCGCTATGAGCTTTTGGGCAATTTTTCCATCGCCAATGCATGCAATCCAAGGAACCCAACATGCCAGGGAAGCCTCGTTCTTTGTTTTCCTCAAGTAATCTAGCAGTGTCGGCAGCGTTCGGTTCGCGGAGGTACTCTTCTCCAAAACGAGATACAATGGCGGCGCAAAACCTGAACATACTTTTGATGGAAGTAGATTCGGCCAGACGTAGATGTTCGTCGTTCATATCGGCGGGTGTGCCGTATGCGAGCATTCTAATAGCTGCAGTGCATTTCTGCAAAGGAGAAAGACCAAGCCTCCGGCAGGCATCGCGCTTCTGAACAAAATAAGTGTCCTCCTGAGTTACTCCTTCAACTACACGTAAAAACAAGTCTCGACCCGTGCGGAAACGACGTCTAAACAGCTCTTCATCATAGCGAGGGTTCTCTGAGAAGTAGTTGTTGAAAAGCTCTACGTGAGCTCCTTCGTGGTTTCGATTAATATTGGGGCGTTTTCCCTTTTTAGATCCACCACCGCGTCGCTTTTCGTTGCCTCCCGACGTGACGAGGTGACGAGCAACGTCCGTGGTGACTTGCGCGGCATTCATGATTAAACACAATCGGTCGTTTGTTTGGCCACACATAGACAATAAGTTGTTCAACCCGAGGGGGTGGTTGGCCTGCTCAGCCATTCTTATAAAGATCAATATTGATATCGATGGAAAAACGAA